ACCAGCCGCATCGTCTGCTTGCGCTAACAATGGGCCTGCACAACGGGCTGCAGCCGGCGGCCGACGGTGCTGCCACCTGCTGCGAGTGTAGCCGCCAGCGCAGCAACACCACGCACGTGATGGACGAAGAGAAGCTAGCTGTGTACAACACCAGCTACGATGGCCCGGGGCCATGCCAGTACCGGCTGCTGTCGGAGGCGGACGGCGAGCCAAACCGCTGTCTAGGCTCGGGCACGCCGTGCATGGCCGACCTGGGTGCGCCCCTCGTGGCCCGCGACAAGTTCGGCACGGCCTACTTCCTGATGGGTGTGACAAGCATGCGACCAGCACAGAAGGAGTGTCACCGGCCGGGGGCGTCGGTGTCATACGCACCCGTGCGGCCGCACGTCCGTTGGATCCTGGACAGTCTGGCCCTGCTGGCCTCTATTTGAGTGGACAGAGAATGCGAGGGTAGAGAAAAGAACGTCAGCTGGCGGTCATTCCGAGTCAAACAGAGTGGTGTTTCTCTATCATTGCTACTCAATATATGTCAATGATGCTGTTTTATGTTAATTGTGGTTACTTATCGTTCATTAGACGTTGTTGACCAATATGTTTGCTAGGATATTTTGCTGGCTATCAGTTGTGTTATGCGCCCGTCGTTATGGACATGATCCTCGGTATATTTGACGACAGTGCATGCACCTGTCTTTTGTGGTAAAAATGCATAGGACAAAGCAATGTTGTTCTTTAAATGAAATATATGGACTGTCATTCAAATACCGTCATTACATGGACGTTTACAGGATGTTAGGGCAGTCCATGGTCATATGTCAAATGGCCATAGATGCGTGGGTAGTCAATGGCCATACATGGCTGAACCGGACCCAAACTATAACTAGCGCCATAGTGTTGAAATTGTTCCGTTCTTGCTGCGTACGAGTAAAAATACGTGCCCAAGACTTCTTAGAACACAGTGTCGTAGTCTGCGTCCAGTCGTTCCGGTTTGTCTCAAAGTTTGGAGAATAGAACTCTCCTTAACAAATGCCGTCTCCCTCTTGATCTTTGTCAATCATTCAACGTACGCCTTGACCTTGTTACTATAAGGGGTGCGGCAAGACAGTCCGCCGCGCAGAAATCACTGTCTATTTTCTGGGGATGCAGCAACTTCAACCCGATGGTAGTGAGACAGGTGGGAGGGCTTAATGCATACAAAATTTCGACAACCATCGCTCCATCATCCATCATCTTATGAACCACTTTTAAGAGTGTTCTGTTCTGTCTGCAGGTCTCCTGATGGCAGCTCTCGTTTACAGAGGACGCAACAGCTAACACAGAACGGCGTATTCCTGTTCATTCACGACGAGGCCTGATACACGACCCCTACCCTTCCCCGCCAGCCCTCTGGTCGCCGTCTGGGTCAACTCTCACAGAGAGCAGCACTACTCAAGACCCAGCCACACCGAAGTTCAATCAGCTTTCTCACGGCATCTTTGGCCTTGTCTGTCAATGATGGCTTTGAATCTTCACGAATCGTATTCTTGATGTGCAGTGAAAAATGGGGTCTCACCTGAACCCAGAGTAAAACACCTTGGCTGATCGTCATGATCAATTATATTTTCCAAAACAAGGGCTCCACAAGTGAAAGTCAATAATACATGCATGCATGTTGTGGCTATGGCCTGAACTAACATGCCTGCAAGAAGATCTTAAGTTATGAGCCGAAAAGGTTTTCACGCCAAGCTCGGGGATATTCCCAGATTTCTCTGATGTCAAATGGTTCCTTCGCAACTATCCAAGTTGCATAGCGTGCTTTATAGGTCAGGTTGCGTAATTTATTAGACCACTCGTGTATATGTTTATAGATAAGTTGTCATCGTGTTTGCGAAAATCGCGCCGTCCGTGCTATCTCGCAGACATGTTTCAAAACCTACGAAGAGGAATAAATCGTATGAGTACAACCTGTCCGTAAAATGCCTGTGCTGTTGCTGTAAGCTGTAAAATATCTGCTAATACTCGCTAGTACACGAACAGGCCGTGGTAAGTAACCTCCAATCACCAACTGCCGTTGACCTGTAAACGCCACTAACTACGAATAAGAACTATACAAGTTTATGCGGGCTTACAATCACCAAACAGGCTGCTTATTTCTCCAAAACAAAATCGAAAATGTTTGCAAGCTCATGACACTCAGTTATAATCCAGGACGTCCTGTCATTTCGCTCTACATTTGATAAGATACTCTGACTGAAGTGAACGCTGGTGTCACCGCAAGTGTCTCTGGTTTTCTGTCATTGTTGCTGTCAGCTCGGGAGGATGTTCGTTATATAACCTCAATGTTAGTGGCGGTGGGGCAGGCAGTGGTGCAGACCGACAGATCACTGATCAGGCTGTCCGTCCGTCGGTGGCGTAAGCTGACAAGTCCGGCTGTGGCCTTGTGAGTGTGTACGCGAGTACCGAGAACCATCGCCCCACCGACATTGCGCAGTTTGGAACCGCTAAAGGACCTCCTACTCCGGATATCCTGATCTGCAGATGTTCTTCCATTGAACTAACGTGCTCTGTTCCTACTATAGTATGCACTTGCCTCCAGCCCAATCCTGGTGTTTTGGTGTGTAAGATATGCTGTGAGCGTGACCTTCGTTGTGCTGTGTGTAACGATAGCCAGTGGTCATTGTGGGACTGGAAGCGTTTTGACAGTTGACCACTTACAGCCTGGTGAGAACCCTCGCCATCTACATGTTACCGCTTGCAGTAGCCAGTAGCTCGAGTGCCACGCACTCCCATAGTATAGTTTGCACCACGGTATCCGCACTGACCTCGCTTACCAATGCTTTTCCAACCCTAAAGATAAAACACGACAAGAATTGTCCGTGTCCATAGTCTGCAGTTTAGTATTCACACATCAACTTTGATGAGGGCTATTGGTGCACTTCTCAACAATACTCGTCCTTGGATATCCATGTACCCCCCGTTGTGCAGCACTGTAACGTAGTCCTGATACAACTGGACTCAAATTTAGCATCAGTTCAGTTCATATGTCTTGAAACTCTTGGTCAAAATCCACATCATGCCACATATTGGGCAGTCTGTCTGGGGGCACGGAGAGAGAGAGAGAGAGAGAGAGAGAGAGAGAAGAGAGAGAGAGAGAGAGAAAGAGAGAGAGAGAGAGAGAGAGAGAGAGAGAGAAGAGAGAGAGAGAGGAGAGAAGAGAGATGAGAGAGAGAGAGAGGAGAGAGAGAGAGAGGAGAGAGAGAGAGAGAGAGAGAGAGAGAGAGAAGAGAGAGAGAGAGAGAGAGAGAGAGAGAGAGAGAGAGAGAGAGAGAGAGAGAGAGAGAGAGAGAGAGAGAGAGAGAGAGAGAGAGAGAGAGAGAGAGAGAGAGAGAGAGAGAGAGAGAGAGAGAGAGAGAGAGAGAGAGAGAGCGTCCGACCGTCCCCTGGCCAAGTGCAGAGGATATCACTCTTTACCACCCGGCTGGTGATGATGGATGTCCACTGACGTCAGCACGCCTCGCCTGCTCAGCAGTTGTTCGGCTGACCCAGCGTGGCCGACGGTGTGCGCCGGCACGACTGTTTGAGCGTGTACCGTGCGCTGCATTTAAGCGGACCACCGTTCGTTTGGAGTGCGATGTTTGCCACGCGCGCAGAGGCTTCTCAGGGCCGGGCTCTTTTTCAGATTTGATCCAAACTCTTTGAATGGAAGAATTTCTGGGATCGGAGCTCACGCTAAATGGTGCTCGTTGTGTGAGGCTTGACTCCTACCAATAGATCGCGAAATTCCAGGCAACGGCAAAATTTACTGGCCAAGGTTTATCGTGTCGCAATGCTCGGCACGGTCAGTCTTGCTCCCTGCCGTCAACTGGCCTTTAGAGCGACCACTGCTACCGGCCGCAGGCCATACCTGTCAAGAGAAAATGCTTGCCAATACCAAGAGCATACTTGTCAATAGCGAGCGCCTAAAACGACTCAACTCCACCCCGCTTCAGGTGGGTGGATCCGAAAGCAAGCGCCCTGACCAACTGACACACCTGGATGAACTCCTAAGCGAATACGCTGGTGCGCTGCACCTTCCAAGTACCCGGCTGGGTAACATCCAACACCAGTTCTCCTGCTGAGGTGCCTTCGCCTGGAACTGCCGGTCGCCGTCACCGCTCCACCCACGCTCGCTCACGCCGCGCTCCGTGACCATATTTGAACACCGACACCATGACTGTACCCGGCTGTATGTGAGCATGTATCTGAGCGCGTGAGCGTCGCTTTTCATATGTTCCTGACAGAAGTTGCCGGGTTGTGTGACAGATCTGAAAGTATATATCTTGAAAATACCTATCTCTATCTCGATGTATATCTGTAGCTATATATATATATATATATATATATATATATATATATATATATATATATATATATATGTGTGTGTGTGTGTGTGTGTGTGTGTGTGTGTGTGTGTGTGTGTGTGTGTGTGTGTGTGTGTGTGTGTGTGTGTGTGTGTGTGTGTGTGTGTGTGTGTGTGTGTGTGTGTGTGTGTGTGTGTGTGTGTGTGTGTGTGTGTGTGTGTGTGTGTGTGTGCTTGTAAACCCTCCTAAGTGGGGACCGAGGTCCGCTACACTCACGCAAGGTGAGGACCGTTTTCAAGGTGGGGGCCGAAAATCGGTCCTCATTTTGCAAACCATTGGAAAACGCTAATTTCGTCCAGATATTGGTCTGGTATCAATCCCTTAGAGGTCCCCACATGGTAGGTTTTGTCCGTCAAGTGTATGTTTCGTGGTCACGTGACTTAGGCCGACTTACACAAATCCGCCGCAGAAGTTTCTCGCCTTTCGACTGAAATGTGTGACGTCATCTTTGAGCGGAGGTGTGCTGATCTTGTTGTCACCTTGAACGCACCATGTAATGTTGATTTCACACGACAGAATTGACTGAAGTAACTAGATGATAAACAACAGTTATTTCTTTATGCCTTAAGACGTCTAATAATGAGCAAACATTAACAATCATGTGGTTTGGCGGGGCACATGCATAGTACCCATCACTACTGATTGTTATGGCAGACCTTGGCCGCGGGTTGGAATGCCGTGGAGGTGTCGCGTCGCTCGGCTGGTGTGGCGTTGCGCGATCGAGGGACGTGAGATATAACTGCGTGGTACGTAGTGGTGTTCCTGTGGGCTGTCACGATGTGGTGAGTACTGATAACTGCATGATGTTCTGTACTGGAAGCTCTGTTTTTTAAGTGCATGAAGTGTCTCGGGCTCGGGTGCACTGCAGTGTCAGGGACGGGGAAAATTCTTTCAACTTGATGACGGTGCGGCAGTTTTACCGTTAAAACCTCTGTAGCTATGAAGGAGGAAGGGGGCAAGCATTAGGTGCGCAGCGCTATGTGGGGCAATGCAAATTCTTCCAACTTGGGAGTTGCGTGGCTGTCTTAGCGTTGCATCCCGTGTAACTGTCGACGGGAAGAGGGGGGGGGGGAAGGGGGGGAGGGATCAGCGTGCTTTTCACCTCATGTTCCTATTTACCCCTCAATGGGGTGCGCCATTCTCACCTTACCTGCATGCACTGAGTGGGGGCGTAGGTACATAAAGTGAGTAGGGGGGGGGGGGGGGTTGCCAAAACTTGTGAAATGATGAAGCCTAACCCAAAGATCATCAACAAACCAATTTCTCTCTGAATTTGGCGCTATTTCATTTCTTAGTTGACAGCTGTAGCTAGATTTCGGAGGGGGAGGCCTAGAACCCCCCCCCCCCCTTCCCTAACGGAATAGGAAACGTGAACCCTGATATCGAGTAGTGATGGCAGGAAACCTTAAAGCCCTTCAACCAGCAGATCAACACACGAGATGTGAACAGCCATGCTTTTTGGAAGCTGCAATTAATGCGTGCTTGATCACTTCAGAATGAATGCAACTTTGACCAGCATGGCCATAAAAGCATGGGGATCTGCGGACTGATCTGCTTGTGGCCCTCCACGTCATGGGGAGCAAATAGCTTTTCCTGCCTGCTCACACCACGTCATGTCAGAATGATTTGTCAGTTAATAAAACATCAAAACTCAACTTTTCGACCAATGCATTCCTTGGACCCTTCCACAGCTGCTTGATGTAGCAGTCTTTTGTAGCCTGGAGGTGCAATTCTTTTGTTTTTATTTCAGTTTCCATGAGATAACACAGTAGATACTAGATACCTGGCCCAACTCATTAATCTGTTGAAAATGTGCATATTGCATATGCTTTCCACCCTCTATGTTCTCAATTCCAGGCAAAACATAGTTTAACCTACCATAATTTGTGGACTGTAGTGATTTGTGGTGGCGCTGGGGAGCAGCTAAATCAAGGGCGTAGCCTGCAAAGGAAGTAGCAAAATAAGGCGAGATTATGTCCACTCTGTTAGATAAATCACAAACTGAAAGCTTAACGTGTACCTTTTAACCAATAGGGAGCAGGGGGCGCAGCCAGAGGTTTCATAAAGGGGGGGGGGGGGCACAGGATTGACAGAGGACACCCTGATAGTACCCCCCCCCAAATCGCCTCATATGACCCATTTGTTATTAAAGACACGTTTTTCTTATTGAGCTCAGACCAACACGGAGCTGACTGTTCGTTGCTCGCGATCGCTGACCGAAGTAGAGGAGTTTTCTGTCTCAGGGGTCCCCATCGGTGCCAAAGATCATCTTACTGACATTTGAGATCATGACCTTACGAGCGGGGGTTCTTAATGTGACCTACAGCCAGCCCTTCGGACTCTTCTAATCTTATATTAGTATTTGGTCTCTTATATTAATCTTTGGTCCATATTTGATCTCGAGGGACCCTTCGGCCCCTCTTTGGGCCCCCTCAAAATCGCTCTGACTCGGGGCTGCTTGCCGCCACAGTTCGACACGGTGGCCCCTAACCGACACAGAAGCCCTTCATTGTACCAGGGACCCCGAACATTACAAATCGCGAGCCCCGGCCCTGTTTCTGCTTGGGAAATGGGTCTCAAGGGCTCAGACGGGCATGGAGCCGACTGTTCGGTGTTCGTGGTCTCGGGCCGATTGTCTCAGGGGGGGGGGGGGGGATCCTAAACCGGTGCAAGGGGACCTCTGAATAGTATTTTAAGTCACGACCCTGCGGGCCGCGATTCTTTGCGTGACCTACAGTCAGTTCTTTAGACCCTTATACCCTCCAAACGGGCCTTTGATCGTCGGTTCCGGTGTGCTGCTCAAAAGTGCTGTTCAAAAGTTGAAGAAAGATATACATTTAATCTTGGGTGTTTTTGGTTCATCCTTAGCACGCATTAGCAGTTATGAAAATTTGACAGCCAGATGCAAATATTTCACCACCTTGCCAATAATTATTGATGCTTTGAATGGTCATTCTTTCCGCATGTCAATTTACAAAATTGTAAAATAAACGGCCTAGACTGCTTAGCAAGCGCGCGGGTTGATCGAGTAAAACATTTTAAAACGCCTTCTGTTTCATACGCAAGCGCGCGGGTTGATCGAGTAAAACATTTTAAAACGCCTTCTGTTTCATACTTAGTAAGCTTCTGGCTTTCGTTCGGGCTGGTCAGGTGTTACCGATATGACATGACCGGTGTACTGGCCCTAAACACTAGGGTCAGTGGGTCTGATTGACATGAAAACAGACATGTCACTACTTTGGTGGTGGGTTCAGGATATACGCGACAAGCAATACTTAGCAGGTACAAGCAATGTGGGATACGTCTCATCATTTTATTACCGTCCCCTACTCATCTTTAAGAAAGCCATTCATTTGTCATTCCTCTTAAATCTGTATTATTCGCTCTTGCGATTTGGAGACCTGCGATGAATAAAGTGTTCCCTTCTAATACCATTCCCTTGACCATGTGATGTAATGCTAGCTTGTGATGAAAACTGGCATTCACGTCATGGAAGAAAGCATGGCGGCCAAAAAGGTGGCATTCCAGGAACTGATAGATTTCTGGTAAACAGACTTGATGATATTGTATTCATGCATTTTATGTGTGAACAGACACCTGAACAGGGTTGACGGGTCTTGTGTAATTGATCTTTTGTAATCTTGACGTGCGTCTCGCATATGTCTGGATTACATGTTTTTGCAGGGGTTTGGTTTCCTCTCCCGGTGGACGACTTTAGCTCCCCACCGACGTGTGATGCAGACAATCCCAATTCAGTGGTCAGCCTTCTCTTCCCAGTTTATGGCGTCTGCCCTGGCAGGAAGGCTGGACCAGGCAGCGAATCGAACCCCGTACGTCTGGTTTCCTATACGCGCGGCTTAACGTATGTTTCTCTACCTGTTTGGTACCGTCAAAAGGCAACCAACATGTGTTGTGTTTTACAAATGCTCGTGCTTACTGTTACAGGCACCGATCATACCGCTTGAAGTTATTCAGCATATCACTAGCAAAGATGGCATGTTTACACTGGTGAAGTATAGTGGCTTCAGGTAAGAGCATACATTGTCCCAATCTCCTCGAGCTAACAAGTGATCCTTGTTGGTAGGACCTCAGTGAATGACACTCGTGCATTACGTTTCGTTTGAACAGCTGTGTGCCGATTTTTAAGACATTCAGTGAAAGACTGAATGACTTGAGTGCTTCGTCTATGCGTTTCTTGGCATAGCTCTTCAGAGCATGAATAAACCGATATATGCATTGTTATACTTACCTGAAAATGAGCATGGGCGGTGCCGAGATGGGAGGCAAACGGGCTGTCCGATCCCCTTTTCTCCAAAGACCTCGACAAAACCCATGACCAATGTGCGTGCCGTGGAAAACCCTACGACCCATGCGCCCAGGGGCCCATTACCCAACCAAGCAAAAGATGGTAGTCAATGGACTATTTTTGTAGTGAACGCTCAAAGGGCCAATGTCAAATTTTCAGAAGCATGTAGGTTTTAGCCCCTGCCCCTATCCATCCCCGGTTCTCTTACCCATGCCTTACAGTGGTGCAACCAAAGACACGTGAGCTATGTATACCCATGCGCGTGCCCTGGGAAGGCGTGGATTTTCGGCGATGCTAGCAACTAGCCCTGACGTCTTCCATGGTGATGTGTTATGATCGTTAGGCGAGGGTATGATTGTACGATAAAAATAGCGTCATGAAATTAATGAAACGGGTCTCCAGGGTGTTCCAGGGCCTCCTAAATGCTTTTTTTCCTCGCGCATGAGAAAATGATCGTATAGAGTAAGAGCCAACGTTTCTTTGCTTGATTTTACAAGTACAGAATTCTCTGACTATTCTTAAGGCCCCTTCTGGCCACTCCAGGGACCCCCAAGTTTTTCCGTGTGCCACTCCTGGCCACTAGTAGTCTTCTGCTTGCCTAATTGGCGGGCATTCTCACTTTTTCAACTTATTTCAGAGTTCCTACATGGGTTTCAAGAGAAAGAGTGCCCCCAAGCCTAATTCGGTTATATTTTAAGAAAGGTTGGTGCATGGTTCAAAAAAGTTTCTTAAAGTATTGAATGAAACGTGAGCAGCAGCATAAGACGAGAGCATCAGATGGCACAGTGCCCTTTGAGAGTGGGTGTAGCAACCAAGGGTGATTGTGCTCTGTTTGGGTTTAAAACTGATCAGTGGTACATACCACCTAACAAAATAACGTGTCATGGCGCAGACTGTGTGTCATTGCTGCAAATCCCAACTGCTCTGCGCGGGAAATTTGCTCATTGCTTTGTTTCGTAACGTTTTGCAGCTTGTGTGTCGTCATTGTTTTTTACTTGCTTTTAGTTAAATATAAAGTGGTTCTTTTGTACTTGCCAAGATACCCGTCATCACGAACATTTTTGTTCCGTCCATGAAAGAAACTGTTCATAGAATTTGAACATGCGCATGGACACGTGGCCATGTGGCTTTGAACAGCCACTTGGCCATGTGGCTTAGCTGGCTAAGGCGTTGGCTTCGGAGCCCGAAGTACCCTGGTTCGCCTCTGACCACCGGCGCGTTGTGTCTCGGTCCCCTCGGCAAAAGAATCGCAACTCCGATAGGTCTGGCACTGTAGCGCATCGTTGAGTAACCCGAACGATCCTTCTTCCGACGTACTGGTTTTTTGTTTTCGTTTTTGCTTAATACTCGTCGTTAGGTAACCAATGGCGATCGGTCTGTCCGCAGATCATGATAATGATGCTTCTGGCCTCATTCCTGATGACAATGAAGATGAAGATCCTACGTACCTCCCCGACCCGCGGCCAGCAACGGACACGAATGAGGATGAGGACCAGGACATGGACGGGGACATGGATGAGGACGAGGACAAGGGCTAGTTCAAGGATATGGACGAGAACTAGGATATGGAGGAAGTCAAAGACGAGAACGAGGACGAGGACCAGGATGAGGCCCAGGTAGTGGCCAAGAACAGCAGAAGGGCTTCCGGCGAACACAGTGTCTCTGTTGAAAAATCTCCTAAAGCAAGAAAGCTATCCCTAAAGCGGAACGTTTGTCCCTATTGTGGTACCCTGCACACAAAACTTGCGGGACATCTTTTCCGGAAGCATAAACAAGAACCCGACGTACTTGACGCACTCGCCTTTCCAAGAGGATCAAGGGAGAGGAGAGTCACTCTGGAAGGTATCATTCATAAAGGCAATTTCAAACATATCTCTGCTGTTTTCCGAGATGGGCGAGGAACGATCGTCCCAAGAGGTGTCCACCTCAAGATATGAATATCAACATGGAAGATATGCTGCCATGTGGGAAATTTCACGGTTTCTTTTCTAGACGCAGCCTCTTTCGGCATCGGTGCCACGCCCATGGGAAAACTGCCTCTGGGGGCGGAGTCCAGTCCCAGGGAAGGTCCTTGCTGCCGTGCCACAGAGATGCCGCGGCTGGTTTAGAAAACCAGATGGCGAAGATGTGAGACGATAGTATTCCGTCCACTTGCAGGCATGATGCCCTTATCATGGAGTTCGGGGCCCGTCTCTACACAAGATTGGGCCACGAGCGCCACCAACATGCACACATCAGAGAAAAAATGCGGCAGCTGGGACGACTGCCTGCTGGAGCTGAATGTATCAAGCCCAGGATCAGGTCTAGAGATGTTAATTCACCCCGCAAAGTTCGTGGAAGTGGTAGGCGCGGTCAAGAACCTGGCCGGTGTGAAGGAGGGCAAATATCATAACCCATCGCTTGCTCTCAAGCTTGGTTATGGCCTCAGTGAATGCGCGGGCATACTGAAAACGCGCGGGACCACCAACGAAGACGCCACCCCGAAGACGGCTGCGGACGATTTCCTCCTGCTCTACCAACGAGATTGGAAGCTACACGTGTCTTCTCGTTCGCTCACCACTCTCCAGGAAAAGAAGTGGAATAAGCCCGTCGACCTTCCCCTCAATGCGGATGTTCAGAGTGTAACGAAGGAGGTGTAGGCTCGGGGGCTCTTGGAAGAGGAACGCTTTATCAAGAACTATGTTAAATTGTCGGAGACTGCGCGGGCATCCATCATTTTGTTTAACCGGCGAAGGCCGGGAGAAGCGTCAAGGCCTACGGTCAGATCATACACTGAGAGGGACCAAACTCTCAATGAAGATGTCCTGCAGCACCTGTCTCCCGTAGAGCGAGAGCTATGCCATTCGCTGGGAGATGTAGTGGTTCGGGGCAAAAAACGAGGCGATGTGCCCATCGCGCTGACAGCCACAATGCGAGGGACGCCTGATCAGCTGATCGCAGCGAGGAAAGACGTTGAGGCCCCTCTCGACTGTCCACACATTTTCGTCAACAGCGCAGCCCTAGATGCGAGCACGCTCAGAGGCAGCGGCTGCGTGCGGACATTCGCGCGAAAGGCACGTGTCAACAACATCACAGCCACGAAGTACAGAAAGCATGTGGCCACTATGCTGCAGCTGCTGCGACTGAGCGAGATTGAAATGGATATCGTGGCCCGCTTTATGGGCCATGACATACGGGTTCGCAGGCAGTTCTATAGACTTCCCGAAAAGACGGTGCATGCTGCCAAAGTGAGTAAAATACTACTCGCGATGGCCAAAGGGATCGGCGGATTCGCAGGAAAGACCCTGGATGACCTTGACCCCAGCAGTGACGATGTCGTCGAAGGTGATCCCGCTCCCAGTGTCGACATGAACGACAGCACTAGCATTATTGCGATCTATATATCCGATCCCCAAGCTGAAGCAGAAAACGGACCACCCAGGGGGCCAAGGATTAATAAAAGGAAGCCCAAAACCAAAAGGAAGGTCGTGCTGTAGACTGAAAGAGAAAAGGAGGCTACACAGAGGCGTATGAAGCCATTTATCGGTTCTCTGAAGTGCCCAGGAATGGCAGACTGCCTAGCGGCACTGAAGGAGGAGTCTGCACCGTGCCGGCGTTCCTGGAAGGATGTTAAGTTCTGTACATACAATGTGATCCAGAAGCACAAGTGTGCCATGGAAATGTAGTTTCAGCTGGAAGCTTGGAATGCTGCATGTCTAGATCCCCTGCTGCGTTGTGTGCAATCGCTGCCTTGTGGTGGCAATGTTCTTTTACCTGCAAGCTCGAGAGGCTCCAGACGTTAGATCCTCTGTTGTGTTATGTTGCAACCCCTGCTTTGCGGTGAGGTTGTTTGACCCGTTTGCAAACAAACTAAGAAACCTTTTGCACAAGAGTGTGTTTGTGGTGGACCGTGATCGGAACTGATGGATTTGCTGTCTCATGCTGCCCTCCCCACATGGAAATAACACAAAAACTAAAAATGAATAGCAGAAAGCCCGCGTCGGGAGACCTCAACATTGCCTTACAGATTGCAGTAGTGACCTATGTCAAGAAGTTTGAAACCGATTTTGTGACCTGCATAGCCGACTGACCTGACCTGCTCCAGATCGTCGTCGATCTGGACTCGGCGATCATCGTCGACCAGGACTATCGATTGATCGTGGTTATCGTCGTCATCACTGGGGCTTCACGACGCACTCACCTGCTGAGGTCATATGGCGTTGCCTGACTCCAACCAAGGCAGTGATTTGTTATTGTGATTGTTCTTCATCTATGCCGTGGGCTGGTCGGACAGGTACCGGCCAGGTACGGAAGACAGGGGTAATGAAAGGACATCAGCGGAAGAACTCGGAATGTTGAAAAATGCAAGGAGGTTCAGATTTGTGTACTGTTTTCATTTTATGCATTATTCATGCTTTGAAATCAACCACCTAAATGTGATGTAATCCCACACAGTTCCGCAACTTTTAATTCGCACACAATGTTAGGCGTCCTGTCTTGACAAAGTTTTGGCGTCAACTTGGAAAAAATTTCGAACACGGACGAAGAGACATAATTTTTGGACTGTAATGAACAAGGCATAACATGTAGCATAAGAGTAGGCATAAGAAGTGAAAATCATCTGTTGCAAACCGAAAAGTTGCGTGTAGCTCGTGCCATGCGTCAAATATAACATAATATGATACAATATAATACAAATATAACAACATAATGCAACATAATGGGAAGATCACATAACATATTACAATAAAATACAAATATAACATTATATAATGCAATATAATGCAGATATAGCAATATAACACAATGTAATACAAGTATGACATAATATAACACAGATCAACATAAATATCACGGCTCCTTCAAAAACAAAGAATGTGCGGGTAAGGCATCAGCAACCAAGTTCCATTTCCCTGTCAGTTGGTTCGCCAACGTGACCGAACCGACGTTGTCACCCAAATTCCCTTTCTTTCCATGTCATCAATGAAGACAATTTAGATACACATTACAATGCGGAGACCGGTCCCTAGCTTGATAAGTGTAAGGCGTATGACGCACCTTTGACGTCATATTAGCTGGTCCCCGCTTCGCGGCATCCTACGGATATTGATCCCTTATCGCTAGACCTACGAAATGCTTACCATCGCACTCCTCGGGTTTTCAGCAGCACTAAGATGTTAATTTCGTAACGCTAGCTCATGTTTAAAGAGGTGTGTAAGTGGTCCCCACTCGGTAGTAGTCCAGCGCGGTCCCCACTTGGGAGGGCTTACAAACAGGTGTGTGTGTGTGTGTGTGTGTGTGTGTGTGTGTGTGTGTATTGCTAAAAATCACAGCGGACTGAGCAATAATGATCTTTTTGATGTTTTCTCAATAAATCTGATAACGGCTTTCGCTACTTCTCGATGCTCGTTAAGAGGGCACCAAAGGACATTATACAAAAACATACTGGTTGCCATACTGCATGTCCTGGTAAGAGTTACATTCTCAGTGTTTATTCTTCATTGGACCTTTTCTCGAGTGACAGTTTTAGACAAAGCGAAACAATTGCGTGCTTGTAAATTTTAAATTCTTTCGTCACTATTGTAACATTCATCTCAGCCTTCATACATCAGCTTTTTTACAATACCGGTGTGGCGCGAACATACCGCATACCTATCGCAACACAGACATGAGCATTTGCGCATGACATGTACTCATCGTTGACAGGTAACAACGCTCACCTGCGGCACGCAAAGCACTCAATGCTCCAGAGCTCTCCACCATGATGGTGGCCCTCCGCACAGATGGAGGGTGCCACGCGCAATTGTCTGCTTGTTAATGAGGTGATGTCATTCGCGGATGTATATTGCTTCTAGAGCGACGAGTCTTTGCCTCTGTGTGGAGCGTGCTGTGACTCTCATGTTGTGGAGCATTCTGCGTGTCAGGTGGGTTTCGTGTTAGGTGTCCGTGTGTGTACATGGGCCACCGCCTTGTACGTGCATAGTCAGACGTCTGGAAGGTGTCGTTGTGTGGCCGATATATACACTATCAGATTTGGGCGCACAGTTTCCAAGGGTACATTTATGGTGACACATGACGTTGTTTTCCTCGAGTGGAACCAAATCATGTGAAGGATTATTTTGCATGATCAAGGAGGATATAGTCAGACACTGGTAATAGGCGTTAAGTTTGACGGTGTCATTGGGATCCTTTGTTTGTCATTTGTGTTGGACAATGCTTTGCAGAGCTTTTGTTTATCATTTGTGATGGGCAATGCTTTGCAGAGGTTTTCGTCAGCTTTATATCCCGGAGACATTGTGTTTGTAGAGAACGGGTGGTACGTATTCTGATTTTCTGTTTTTGGTTTCGACTTCAGGTGCTAAGACATGATTGTGTTAATCTGGTCTTCCACGATACGCATGTCGTAGTCATTGTTGACAAGGATTTGTTTGACTCACTTAAGCTCCATATATATATATATATATATATATATATATATATATATATATATATATATGTGTGTGTGTGTGTATGTGCATGCATATACACACAGGTCTTTTAGAAATATGAAATTGTTTAAGTGACAGGGTGGTATGCATGAAAGTATGAAGCAAAGTTATATTTTTGCGACATTTCTATCTCGTGGTAAACCCTGAAGCCTGCGCTCCGTGTTGCCACAGCTTTTTGTTCCTCGCACAGCCGGACGGACGT